AATGCCAAATAATCATATGTAACTCATTAAATATCGAAATTTGAAGAAAAGTGCACTATTTTTAATTAAAAATTGTCAATATTTCGAGAAAAAAAGAGTTTCCAATTTTTCGAGATTTTGTCAAACATTATAATGTATCTTACAGTCTATAAAATCTAAACAGCAGTCAGATTTAACTGTTGCCAAAACTGTATAGCGTCTCGTCTTTCATTTCATAGCAGCTGTTCAATTTTATTACGAGGATCTACAGAGTTAAGAAACGGAGCAAAGCCGTGATGCGATTTCGCGGTGAAAACGCGGATAAATTCGCTTTCAGCGAGTCGCCCGGAGGAGACTATAACGGAAAAAAATAGCGAGACGACCAGTAGATTATGTCGCGACCGTCTCTAAATAATATCCGCGACAGGTACCATATTTATCGAAATACCTCGGCCGACATCCGGCACGGTCCATACAATAGCGAGGTAAAGAGTAAGTGATGTATTCTCCGTAAGGAACCGTAGTCGAGCAGTACCTACGCTACGTTCCGCGGGTCACTGTCCGATATCTCATTCTCCTCGCTACATTGCACGTATACGATCTGCTACATGCGGTTTCGCCTCTCACCGCGCGCACCCCGAGCGCTGGCTACAACCATCCTAGATTCTCCGGCAACGCGAACAACAAAGAACTCAAAGAAAGGCGAAGAGAAAGGAGGAGAATATTTGCGGACGGTATCGAGTATCGACCGCCTAGGAGACAGTAGTACATCTATCGACAAAACATATAAGCAAATGAAATTTTAATTATTTTACAGAAACACGTAATGAACTGATCAAGAGCGAAGCGAATTGATTAACGTGGTAGTCGCGAGAATTCATTTTCTTACCATCTTCTTTACGTTCATCACGCTGTTATTTATTAATAGTTATAATTACAAGAAGTCTAGAGTTATGACAAGCGAGATAGTCATCTTTAAGAAATCAGAGTCATCGTCTTAAATAAGATAGTTGCAAAAGTTGCAATATATGAAATAGAGTAAGAAAACAAGCATTCAAAAGAGGAGAAATGTAAAAGTCAGATTCAAGCTGAGAAATGCAAGTAGTATGTTAGTTAGGCTTTTTTTGGATACGATTGTAGCACAACTATTATCTTAAAAGACAACTGTTTTAAGGTAGCTCTTAGCCAAATTCGATATCATGAAAAATTGTTTATTTTCTAAGAAAATTTAAGTATCAGAGAACATATCTGTAAAACTTCAGAACGATTATCTACACGGTTCCCATGATATCATTTTATAAAAATAAAAGCTCACAATTTTTTATATTGATTCTTATAGAAGTATCGCCCCTGTAATTGAAATTCAGGTTTCTTCTCATTATAATTTTTTAACGAGTCATGACACTTTATTGGAAAATGGAGGAAAATTACTTTAAAGTCTAAAGAGTAACATATTAAAATCTGAAGATGATCCACTATTTGGTTATTTTATAATATTAATCCAAAAGTCGATACTACGAAGACTTTCACTGCCATTTCTGAGAGTAGTGAGAACATGGCAACGTTAATTGAAAAAAGATCAAATCAAATTTCAATTCAAATTGTGGCAAACATTAATGTAAATTCTGTTAATAGAATCACATGATTTTTAATAGTGAAAAGATTTCGTAATTTGAACTTTTTATTTTCATTTATCATTTAACTTGCATAGTTGACTACCTTAAACAATTGTCTTAACTGACCGTGTATATTTGATATAGGACAGAGGAAAAATTGTAATGACTAGATAGATTTTCGAGATTAGGAGCAAGAAGAAAATTGTATAATGAAACCTGCGTGCCGGGCGTCCATTTGGACCTCACCCGGTGCAGCGGCGGTCTCGTTAAGCACGTTCGCGTTTTCAAACGCGATCGAACATCGAACGCGATGCTGCGGCTCATCTTGTTCTACGCTCGCCGGGAAAAGAAAACTCTCGGTGGCGTCGCGTCGCGTCGTTCATCTTACCTGGAACAGAAAGAAAAACGCTGGTTAGATCGGGTATCGCGTGGCCGCACGAACGAACGTTTCAATTACGGCACGCGATAAATATCGCGCGAAACGAGACACGCCTCGCGTGAATTCCCTTGGGAAACGCGTAAATCCGTAGAAAGTGTCGTCGTTCTCCTATTTTACGCGTTCCTAGGAGCGGACAAAAATCGGCATAGGCAGCAATAATTTGCGGTAGTTGGTTTAACGGCGCGGAAAAAAGCCCGGGCGAAAACGAAGACGAAAACTCCACGCCTGGAACCGATCGTAATTATCGATAATAACAGCGACCGATTTCTCTTTTTCTATTTCTTTTAATTAGTAACGATCGGGGGCCGCGGACGATAACGAGCGCCGCGGTGTATTCGTAACCCGGCGATAATCGATCTCGGTAGATTAACGGCGCCGGTAATTAATTACAGCTGCGTCATAATTATTGCCCTCGCGGTACGATACTTTTCTTGTTGCGCGTAAACGTTACCCTGGCCGCGCGTGGTACGTGTATTTCATCGTTATTGATAGGCCAGCGACACACGGGCAGGTTGTCACAAACCGAGAAAACGTTTGTTCGTCCCTTTCAAGAGTTATCATTACCCAATGACTGGTTTCAAAATTCGTTCGAACGAGGCTCTTGTTTTTAATGAAATTAGGGTGTGATCGAGAAGAAATCCGGGAGAGGGTTAATTAACGAAGAGGAGAGAAGGCGCGAAGGATCTCGGCGCCGCGAGAGGCGAACGAGGAAGGAGAGGAAGAAGGCGGGACCCGTTATCGGTCCTCGATAAGCTGCCTAAACGATTCTCGAGTTAGCGTCTCGTTGGAGCGTAAAAGAGATAGCGCGGTTCTCCGCGTGTGGTCCCGCGGCTCGGCACTCTCTCTGACACCGCCGCGCCGGGGCCCGAAGAGAAGCTCGAAGAATAAGACGCTGACGGAGGAATACGAACGAGGAAAGAGAGGAGCAATCGGGGGAGGGAGAGAGAAGCTGAAAGGGACACGCGGATACCGGTATCTGACCCGGGACGCAAGGGCTGCGAGGGAGAAAGGAGCCTCGACCTTGCTGCCCCCCGTTGAGCATTATTACACATTTAACTAATTTCCTTGTCTCATAAAGTACGGAAAGACACCGGTGGTGGCCGAGCGT